CACCCCCCCCCCCCCCCCCACCCGCAGAGCCGGAAGACGAGAGAAATTGCTGTCGTCCCTGGCCTTCGTTCGAAAAAACCTTGGGAGAATAGGAATATCGACCTTGAACGCCGAGTCCGTCTCTCTGAAGTCACATGTGGTGGGGAGGGGACCTTGAAGCAAGGACCAGTCAAATCCGGGTCTTAAGCTCAAGATGATGACATCCGGATTTTTTATCCTTATATGAGCACTCCCACGAGGCCGAACGGGATCAGAGGCTTCACGGGCGAGATGAGAGTCTTCCGGAGAGATGAGAGTTTTCCGCCGAGATGAGAGTCTATCCTGCGAGATTTCTCCGAACGAGATCCGAAATACTTTCGATACCGCTGGTGGCTTTAATTAAATGAATACCCTCTACCATTTTTGGCTACTCCTGTTTTCTTTGATAAAAGCTCCCATTTTCCCAATCCGTCTTTCTTGCTCAAAGAAGTACTAGTACCAGTAAAAGTACAGACGTATGTGCCAAAGAGTTGGATTTGCACCCATTCAAACTTCTGACATTTCGAAACGAAAACCCAAGTCCAATTGAAAATGCGCGTATTTGCCAAAAGATATACACTATTTTGTTGTGTAGATATTTTTTTATGACTTTGCTCTGGATCGTGGGAAATCTCGTCGTGACGTCACGCTTCGTGACGTCACGACGGGGAATTCCAGGCTAGGCCATTTGCACATTTGCAGGAAAACGCCTCGTGATCGGGATTTCGATGAGCCTTTCGAACCGATCGCGTCCTTGACGACCTCGGAGACGAATCGGCGAATTCCGCCGCAAAGGTCATGCCAAAACGCCTCTCGTTCGGTATTTCCTCTTCGAGACGGACTCACCCAGCAACAAAAACGACCGGGAAAAACGAATTGGCACTCGAAAGAGACAAGATCCATAGGCCTATCTTCATCGCGCCTGCGACGGGATGACAACGGATACGGAAAGACGCACTAAGGACGAATCCGATGGGGTTCGATGAAAAATTAATTGCATGCAGGGATCGATGGGGACAGGAGGGAACGGGGCCAGTCCGCGCACTGCCGTCTCGCCGGGAGCACCTTCGTGTCCGTCGTGGGCGTATTCGAGTTCTCCGTGGGCGTATTCGAGTTCTTCGTGGGCGTATTCGACTCCTTTGCCGTGAGCGCATTCGATATGCGGGCTGCTGCGTGGTGTGCTGCTGCGTTGGGTGGTGCTCGATAGTTCGTGAATCATGGGCTGCTGGGGAGATCCGAGCGTCCAGGATGAGCGGGTGAGATTAAGATTACGGTTAGGATTATGATTATGGATGGCATTTTGGTCTTGATTTTCGTTCGTGGTGAAGTTCCGATTTGAAGTTCGAAATTGAAAGCGAAAGTTGCAGTCTTACTGCATCCGGTCTCGGGGCGTGATTCACGGCGACCCAGATAGGACGCGATACGTTTCGGTGAACCTTGAATTTTCCCCTTGTGTAAAATCCATTAAGCTCCTTCCTGGAAGTGAAATGCATCTCCGTGTGGCTTGTCCGATGAGGGATTCCGAGATAGGAAAGTGTTCGATTCGAATGAGCTGGCCCGCGGCCACCGGTGCGATTTTCTGCCGGCTTCTCGTGATCGGCGGCTATTATTGCAAACCCTGCAATTTGCATAACCTCTTGCGCTAATTCTCTCTATGCCCGTAACCAATGACGACGTTGAACGGGCACTTAGAATGTAGCATTTAAAAAACCAAATTCGTTCCGTGCGTTTTAGCCAATGACCAATGGGCCGATTGACCTCACATCCGGGGTGTGGACCAATTGCACGATGCCTTTTTGAAGATCGATACGAAATATGTTTAATCCGTTTCTAAGTTACCTCTCAATACCGATATCTCATGGCAACGGATTGACGCGTTAAGTTTCCAGTTCGTATCCACATTAAGCAGCTTAATTAAGCAGCTTCTTTGCATAGTAGGTATTCACGGTTCAAATCTGACGAAGCGCGTTCAAACATCCCCGGACCCCGAAATCCCGCAAACGTGACACCTGCAGTTTTTTCCTCTTTTTTCATTTTTCCCCCCCGGAATCCCCTTCCCCGCAAATCGCCCCAGACGAGCCTCCTCACGGGAGATAAAAATACATGGACGCGGAAAAACAAGAGCCGATAAGATTGGCCCTCGCGCTGCCATTGTTTGCGGATCACGTGGGAGGAGACGCCGGAGTGCAAACAAATGCCTTGCGAATCTCCGGCTTTTCGTATTTTCCTCCGAGAGGGCTTGTATTATTTAATTTGCATTAGAATTCGACTTATTTATTAAAAACTAATTCCATTGTAATTATCATTATTAAACAATTTTCTTTTAAAATCTGTTTTTAATAATTTAAATATTTTATTACTTTAATATTTTCTTTTTTCACTTGTGTATTTTTCCATATATTTTTTTATTTTTAATTTTCTTTATTTTCATTTTCATTCTTATTTTTTGTTTGTTATATTTTATCATCCTGCTTCTTTCCTTCACGGTACGAAAATGATTTCCGAGAATCGGAATGGAGATCGTCTGACGTTCCTGGAAAGGACGATCGGCCGGGGAATTTTCTGTCGGTTTTTCCCTCCTCGTTTCCCCAGGAGACCAAAAAAAGTCCGAAGAAAATTTATATTCGTAATTACGAATTCGAATTGTTGATTTCCTCGAGCCGGGAAACATGGCAGTCGCGGGCCTCATGGGTTTTCAGAGCGATAACGAAGGTTTTCATTACTGTCTGGAAATTCCATGAAAAGACATGAATTATTCATGCCTTTCCCGAAGTTCCGAACGAGAAGCATCATTACGGGCCTATTCCAGCATCGCGAGATTCATTCCGAAGGCCAAATAGACCGACACTCCGAGCCGTGACGACCCGATAGGCCGACGGCCATGGCAACCGGAGAGGTCGACATTGCGAGCCATGGCAACAGGAGCGACTCCGCGACGACGATAAAGACGGAGAATGGGCGGGAGAAACAAGAGAAAATTACACCTGCGATGACGGCCTTGCTCCTCGATTACCGTTGAGGATGGATCAACAAAGGAATTGTGTGCTCGGTCGATGCGGGGCCTCGCGAGACGCTGACCCGATACGGGTCAATCGTAGCCCGGCAATCCCCCTCGACTCCGGTCGATCCCTCCCCGGCGTCGTGCCATCCGGGGAATTCCGAATGAGATTGGATGCCGTCGGGGTCACGTGACCCGGGGGGGGGGGCGTGACGTCATCGGGCATATTCGACTTGCGGAGCGATCGGATAGCAACGTGGACAGACGTAATAGGGTTTCATCGCTTCTGTGGTGTTTGAGGTGCGTCACGGTTAATTAGCTAATTTGCATCGCAAATGCAGGAAGGAGGAGGGGCAGAGCGTGAGAAATCTCGCTTTCATTTCAAGGCGCTTTCTGAGCTTCTCAGAATAATTTTTTTTCGTTCGCCTTCGGGTGAACCACGATTGACAAAAATAGCTGATAAATATGAAAATCATATCAATGGTTCTGGCCCGCCTCCCCCCACAAGAAGTGACTGGTACTTTCGAAAACCCCCCAAAAATATCCAGTTGCAATATTAATGGAAAGGGCCAATGGTTGCCTTTGTTTTAATTAATACCACTCGCGAAAAAGGCAAGGTCAGAGTAAAGATTTAAGTTAAATTGCGTCTCCCCAGAGATATAAGGATCTTTGGGGTGCTTCAGGTTTATTGGGATGAGGTGAGATTGCAAGGGGCTTCGATGGGGTAATGGGGCGGGGCGGGGTTTTCATGGGATAGCGCAGAACCTCACGGCTTTCGGATTTTCGCATATTATATCAGGGATCAACGTAACAAGTATATTTTATTTCAGATAATTATTATGTATCAATTAATCCTTACGTATAATAAATATTCGTATCATCGACCAGAAGAAAACAGCTCTAAAAAAAATTCGACCAAGTTGGGGAATGCATCCAGTCGGTCAAGCCATATGACCGAGACACAGAAGCTTGAGGTACGTGTACTCCTGGAGGCCGTGCCGGGATCCCTCCACGCCGAATCCCGACTCCTTCACGCCGCCGAAGGCCGTCTCGCAGCGGGACACGATGGGCTCGTTCACGCCGACCATCCCCACCTCGAGCCCGCGGCTCACTCGCCAGATCTGGGCCAGGTCTCGGGTGTACACGTAACCTGCAGAACGGAATCTTCAACTGAGATTTTTATTAGAATTAATTTTCTTCAAATTGGATTTTCCTTCGACTGAGATATTTTTTTGACCCTATGGGTCGCCTGTGAAATTCAACCGTTTAGTAATTAGGCATTTGGACTAATAAGGTAGAAGAAAAACGTTCACTAAAGATGTTACCCGTAAATCAAAGCGTGGAGTAAGAGTTTGCGCATGCACGTGCAAAATCTATGATGAAATCTCTCGTGAAATCTATTGTGAGATGAAGAGAAAGTGAAAAAATTCGATTGAAGGCTTTCCTGTATTGCTTGAAACGAGACCCTCCGCTGAACCCAAAATTGAGACGTTTGAAAACTGCGTCTTCGCAATGTGCCGAACACCGTTACTGACATAAGCAATGTGGCGCACTGGCCGTGTCAAATGCCCTTGCGAGCAAATTCCGGAAAAGTACAGAGAAGCAATTTATAAACAATTTCCAAATTTCAGAACGACCTGGACGGCATGTCAATTCCAAATGGTTCACTTTAAAAATTTTCCCGCCGAAACGGAGCAAGGCAGACCTGTGAGTCCTTTATCGGATGAGTTGGCAATACGGAGAGCTTCCTCTTCCGTGGCGAACTTGTAGAAGGCGGCGACCGGACCGAAGATCTCCTCCCGGAAGAGGATGGAGTCTGTGGACTGCACCTCCACGAGGGTGGGCTGGTAGAAGAGCCCGCCCTTCTCGTGCCTCCTCCTCCCTCGGATCACCCTGCAGCCTTCCTCCACCGCGTCGTGCATCAGCTTCTCAATCTGGGCGGAGATGGAGGTTCGTTGGCAGGGTTGCTCGAGAGGGAAGATGGAACCGCAGGGTTGCATGGGATTCGTGCTTACACGCGATTATTCGCTCACGAATTCATTAGTCATCTGGTAAGTGAAATTTTATTCATCATTTGCTTGGTATTTTCCATACGGAATTAATTCGAAATTAATTCTGAGATGTCTTGCTTATTTTGAAGCAAATTAATTTGAAACAAAATATTAAGATGAGCATGGCTTTGATCACAATCTCCGGCTTTTAGTTGAGGTCTCTCTCACTAGACCGACTTCAATCATCTCGATTTAATTGAAATACGCTTAAATTAGCATAATGGATTCATGAATATGCGTCTGAAAGCTTATCGCGAAGAATGTGCATTGCATGGCGTGAGTGACAAACACCATGATTAAAAAATGACGCCTACATTAACGCGCTCGATTTTGGTGCTTGAAGTGTCCATCTTCTATGCACGGATGCAACTGATGGGAAAATGAAAACAGGAAAACAGGAAACTGGGGAACAAGGAAAAGAACGTATTTTTCTGCATTCGACCTTATTTAAAGATGGCACAGGGTAAAACACCCAGTGATGGGCCACGTCGCAGGAAAATTCCAAAAACTAGGCATTTGTCGCATGAAACACCTCAGAAATGTGTGCTTGCATGCTGCCAGCCTGTCACAACAGGGGCAGGCTTGCTATGAAAGCTTAGCTGTTGGAATTTGTATGTGTTGTGGCCCATCACTGAGTCCATCCCTATATCTTTAGTCAGTCAATTAGCATGATTATTTTTAAATCCCCCAAGTGACTTTTATCCACTTTGTATCCAGCCCGTGACGCGTGAAATGAGGTCACAGTCTCAGGATCTATTATTCATAAGTCCAGCCAAGAGCCGCCGCTTTTAGGCAAAAGGGAAGGAAAAGGGGAAAGAGAGGGAAAGGAAAAGGGGAAGGAAAATCCAATTTGAAGAAAATTAATTCTAATAAAAATCTCAGTTGAAGATTCCGTTCTGCAGGTTACGTGTACACCCGAGACCTGGCCCAGATCTGGCGAGTGA